TGAGTTGGAAAGTAGGTCCCAGGTTTCCCGAAAAGATGGCATTTCTGATGAAAATGTTATCTCTTATTAATTGTCCTGATATTATACTTCCTCAGTCATTCACTTATCTTTTTCAAAAGTTGGCACGACAGTAACATCAGGCCACTAATCGAGTTGTCCAACTGCCTATCTTGCCACAAATAGATTTTTCCCTCTGCCTATTCGCTGGTATTTTAAAGCAATTCACAGTTAATCCTAATGGGTAATCATTCTCAACTATGATTTTTATTGATATCCTCAGTTCCTGCATATGCAAGACGCATGTTCATTATCATGGATTACACAACTCCTACTGTAGCCCCATAAGTTTTGCTTGAAATGAAATGTAAAAGGAACCCAGCATTTTTGGGTTTCATACACGCATCCCTACTTAGTTTGTTTCCCTTTGCTAACTAGGACATCTAGAAAAGGTAAACTAACATAATATGAAATGCATCTCGAAACAATACTTAAATGCGGAAAATAAACTACCATATTTGCATATTTCCATGATGAACTTCGCATCAATCACATACATAAACGTTGGTAATTCTCCTAGGCTTTCTTTGCCATACGACAAAGTAGTAATCGATTTACTTAATCAATGATTTAGGAACTAAAAGCGCTGCATGTATTAGATGACTTTCTGATTTAGCCATGTAGTTATTTGCTAAAATTGGGGACTAGTATATACTCATAGCTAAGCCTCATGTTTGTTCGTACAGTTTACTATTGAAAGTAAAGTGTGCGCAGCTCATAACTAAATTCGTCGACATCATTATTGACTCCTTGCATCAGTTTGCATTTTTCAGAAAATCTTGGTTTCAGTCCAAAGTCAATTTTGGAGCATGAGTAGCTCCGCTTACAGGAATGTTGGTATATATTGACTTTACATCAAAACTAACAGTAAATCTCTACCTTTATTATCTGTTCATCGATTAACTGAACGAATTCGTATGAGTTCCTTATTAAAAAATGTCATGCCCCGGAGATTTACTTTATTTGCTGATAGATATTTCTTGATGTTTTATGCATTACGTTACCCTTATTACTAGCAATAACTCTGAGTGGGATTCCTTCCTTATTTATCTTGGGTAGCCTATATGCATTCGGGGCCTGTCATCTCGTTGAAGAAGTGTATTCATTTTTAATTTATTTAATTCCTCCTTCGTTACTGAATATTACAGGCGACTCCTGAGTCTAGACTTCAGAGATTCCTTAGAGTCTTTACTGATTATCGTCTACTTTAATTTATCATCTAATCTTTTCTACATAACTAACCTTATCCATTATCACTAATGCTCATCTCTTGTCTGCCCTTAGCCCTATTTGTTCATGACTTCCTAGTTTTTTAATGACGCCGTTTACTCTATTATGCCTTGGCGATACTTCTGTATAACTATCAATTAAAGGCACAACCTGCGACTCGATGCCACTTCTTCCTCTCTATTCTCACTGTTTGGCGACGCGAAGTTCGAAACCCTAGAAAGAACTTCCTTTATGCTAATGCCCAAAGCTGTTTGGGACAGGTTCACCACTTTCTCTCCTACTCTAATTAGTTCCTTTAAATCTCCCTTAACTGTCCCCAGATAACTCTCCATCTTAATTCTTATACCCAAATTCCTAAGCTTCTTATTATTCTTTATCCTAACTTGTTGAAAAATTATGTTATATAACTTATCTGTCACTCTTTACAACTTAAATAAATCGTTTGAGCTAAGAGCTTTCGACAGTGATTGCCTAAATCTGGTTTTACTCCTAATCAAATAATGTAATTTTATTATATTTTCTTGAATTCTGGAAATAACTAATTCGTGAGATTCTCTCGGAAAGACTTGCTTAGTTCTAGGAATATTCGGTTTATTAATACTACGACTCTTGGCTAGCATATTCATCCATAAAGACTATATTTTTCAGCTAAACGATTCAATGAAGTGCGTGTGGCTTTTATTTGCCTGCTGTCCGATGGTTTAGTTTATATTATTGGTTGAGCCCGTTTGACTAATTCGTTTTTCCCCTCTTTTTTGCCTATATTTATCAACCCCTCTTTTTCTTTATATACATGTTTTATTTATGCATCCTCATATTAGCAATCCACTGGCTTGTCAATCAGATGTTTTTTTGCGAACCTATATATGAATATAAGCACTTCTGCCACGATATCCGCTATCTAATCAATGCGGCTATTCTTTAAATTCAGATAATCTTCTGTTAGCAACATTCATGCATCCTTAACAACCCTGCTTCCATTATATGCTATACTTACAGTTATCATATCTCTTTACTTTAGAAAGCTAATGTCTAAAATGCATTGGGTGATTTTCTAATGAATCTTATTTCTTTTAGCCACGTTTCAGACGGCACATTTTGGTTAGAACTTGCCATAACTAGCTAGATTTCTGCACTTTACTTTTTCTTATAAGGAGAAAGATTTTAATTTCTAAGTTGATTAATTTGAAAATTACCGAGTTACCTTTTTTCATCTTAATTAACTCTTCATCCTTTAATCCTTCACCAATTATTATAGTTAAATGAAAAGGCTACACTATCTTGGTCTTCATACCTTCGATTAAATGAACTATTATCATCCCATAGACTAGGAAGCATTTATCGCATTGACTTTCAGCGCACTTAATGTAGTATATTTCAAACGTCTTTCATATTTCTTTATTTCGTTATCTTCATCATATTTCAGGCTATTTGTCATTAAGGTGATTGTTAACATTTTACTACTGTCACGTGCCTATGCACATGTAAGTGCATACGTACGCGCCAGCGTGGCTGTCAGTCATTCAACTCAGCAGCAGCAACAGTTGTCCAATCCGGAGGCATTGACGATGGATGGGCGGTTTTGTGCTGCTTCAGATCCTCAGCGCATTGGAGTAGACAAATTATCAGTTGGCCGGGATGCCTCACTTGTGAATGCTGAATTCGAGGCTCATCTGAGGACCGGGGAGGTAGTGGAAGATTTACTTGTCGCGGCTAGTTTGCGCCGGCCGATTGATACTAAACGACCTCCAACGACGTCATCAACCCAGGTGACCACCGTACCGTTCTTAATGACTAGCTCTCAAAACTTGTAGTGATAGTTTAGAAATCTACCTAGTTCATATATCGCCAAGTTTGGCGCCAAATATGAGTTTTCCCTATAAACAAGCCC